CACAAGGATTTTTTTGTCCTTCTTCAGGAAGGCAAGGACAGAGCCTTTTTGCTCTCTCTGTAAGGAGTCGACATCCTAGGGAAGCTCTGCACACCTCCACCCAGATCTTTTCAAAGGTGTTCAATGAGGTGTATCCCACAGCAGCCATTCTTTTTTTAAAAAATTTATTTTATTGAAGTATAGTTGATTTACGATGTTGTGTTAATTTCTGCTGTACAGCAAAGTGACTCAGTTATACATATATACATTCTTTTTCATATTCTTTTCCATTATGGTGTATCACAGGATATTGAATATAGTTCCCTGTGCTATATGGTTGGATCTTGTTGTTTATCTGTTCTGTATATAATATCGATAGTTTGCATCTGCTAATCCAAAACTCCCAATCCTTTCCTCCCCCACCCCCCTTCCCCCTTGGCAACCACAAGTCTGTTCTCTATGTCTGTAAGTCTGTTTCTGTTTCGTAGATAAGTTCATTTGTGTCATATTTTAGATTCCGCATATAAGTGATATCATATGGTATTTGTCTTTCTCTTTCTGACTTACTTCATTTGGTATGATAATCTCTGGTTGCATCTATGTTGCTGCAAATGGCATTATTTCATTCTTTTTTATGGCTGAGTAATATTCCATTGTATATATGTACCACATCTTCTTTAGCCATTCATCTGTCGGTGGACACTTAGCTTGTTTCCATGTCTTGGCTGTTGTGAATAGCGCTGCTGTGAACATAGGGGTGCACGTATCTTTTCGAATTAGAGTTTTGTCCAGGTATATGCCATTCTTAAACAGCTCTTCCTTCTCTGTTGAGAGAAGCACCTATTTATTATCTGGGCAGCAGTGTCCCTCCGCTACCAAACAGCCTCCTCTCATTCCCCATTCTATGGAAATTGCCTTTTCTGTGGAGCCCTGTTAGGGGCTCTGAAGGTCTAGAACAAAACCCACCAAGCCCTCTCTAGCTTTAAGATGGCCTGTCTCTTCTAAACACACCTTTCTGGCAGACAAAAAGGGGATCTCTTCGGCAGGTGATTTTAGTTCATGTTCAGGGATTCCATCCTTTGCTCAGTAAGGGGGTGAGAGTAACTTAACAAAATAATGGTGCAAATAGTAAAAGCAGTAATAATTAATGCTTATATCGATGGAATCTCACCAAGTTCCTGGCTCTGTGCTCAGCTCTTGTAAGGGGCTCAGTCTCACTTAACAACTGAGCCCCTATTTAGGAGAGGAGGAAGCTGAGCCTTAACCCCTAAGTGAACTGCCAGGGTGACACAGGTGGTAAGTGGCAGCCCAGAATCAGAACCTGGGCAGGCTGCCCCAGAGCCACGCTTCTAACCACCACTCTAAGCTCTGTCCTGTCCGTGTCCCGCGGCCCTGGGAAGAAGGTGTCTGTGGTAATGAGCCCAGACAGGCCCCTGCCTTCAAGGAGCACGTGTTCCAGAATCGGTTCCGGGCCCACCTTTCCTATTCCCCTCACTCTGGGAACCGCACACAGTGTGACAGCAGGAGCACTCTATCCTTGGTCATCAAAAAGCTTTCTAATATACAAATATGGCACAAATCCCAGGCAGAAAGGCTTATATGTGTTCTGTACACTATATTTTCCCTCTACTTGCTGCATCCTGGAATCTGGGAAATGTCATATCTCTTTAGATTCCAAATTGTTTCCCTAATTCATATTCCTGGGATGAAAGAGTTAAAGCCGGACTTGCTGGAGCTTATTATTTTAATCTAGGATTATGATGGCTGCAGAAGGAGGACACCCTGTCCCCCTGACCTATCTGACTAGGGGACAATGGTGGTTGTCCTGACTGGAGAGCCTGACCTGGCTGTGCCTGGGTGGGAGGGGAGCTGCAGTCAGAGCTAAGCCTGTCTCTCTGCTAGGAAATGGACTTAGGTGGAGAGACCAGAGCGGGAGGGGGCTGCATGCTGCCCTTTGTCCTGGGAAGCAGCTTAGGATGCTGGTGGTTGGAGGGGAAGATGGAAGGGCCAGAATACTCATGTGGAAGTCCCGTTGTCCCCAGCCAGTAGCTCTTTTAGGTGTTGCTGCTTCTTGAGGGCCAAACATCTGTGAACCCCCTGCAGAGGACGTCAGGGTCCCCCACCCCACCTTGTGGTATGGCAGGCTACCTGGCCAAAGGCCCTGGCTTACAGGGTGGCAATGTGAGTTCTGTCCCCTGTGTAACTCCCGCTGTCTACAGATGGGGAAACAGCCCTGGGGGAAGCACTCAGCCACTTCCTCCCTGTGCCTCACCCGCTGAGCTCATGAGCCCTCCATGTGCGAGCTTTCGTGGCCATGACAAAAGCTCTCTGTGCTCAGATGGAGTTGTCTTTGCCAAGCCACACAGGAACCACCCCAGTCCTTCCAGGAAATCTCGAAAGGAACTGTGACAGCTGGGATGGTGGGTTATAGTCCATGATGGGAAGGGCTTGGCTCCAGGGCTGTGGTTGGATTAGAGTGGAGAGTCTCCCTTCTCCTCAGGAGTCAGAACCTGTCTGCCGGGCAGGGTTGTTGCCCCTTGCGTGGACCAAGACAATGCAGTGATGGGGGCTGGGCGGTTAGACTGGGACAGGCTCACAGCACTGCACCTGTCTGCCCCCTGCCGCTTGGGAGAAAGACCCCCTTCCTGCCACAGGGCTGTCAGGGCCTGCCCTCTCCAGGGTGCACCGTGACCAGGAGTTGCCTGCCCCGCTGACCCTGGCTGCCATCTGTGAAGGTAGCTGCTGCTCCCCTCCCTGCTCAGTTTGTTACTGCATGGATGCCTCCAGGCGCCTAAAAAACCCTGCTTTTCTAATCAGTGGAGAAACCAGCTTTGTCTGCCAGGAACCAAAGCAGGGCAGCTGATGAAAAAAAAAAAAAAAAAAATAGTCAACAATATTGTAATAACTTTGCATGGTGACAGATGGTTACTAGACTTACTGTGGTGATCAATTTGTACTGTATATAAATGTAGAATCACTATGTTGTACACCTGAAACTAATATAATATTGTATGTCAACTATACCTCAATAAAAAAATAAATAAAAAGAAAAAGGTATTACAGTAAAAATTCTGGCTGATCTTTTGTTGAAAAGTATCACTTTTCCATGAGAAAAATATAGCTTGCTTGATAAAAAAAAAAAAAAAAAAATTAACAGCTCCAAGTAGAGGGAGCAGAAAGGAAACAGCAAAGCTGGAAAATGGTTTTAAAACCTCGGGGGAAGGCCGATCTTGGCAGCATCTGGCCAGCTGCCTGGAGCCCTCCTGCCTGCCCGCCAGGTCTTGTGACAAATGCCCTCCGACAGCCGGGGAACCACAGCTGTCACCGGAAGGCTCCGAGCGTGCAGGCTGGCAGCCAGAGGCCTGCGGCTGCAGATGCGTCTCTCCCCGGGCTGGTAACCTCATTATCTCTGCTGGCGGAGCCGGAGCCTCGGGGAGCACAGCTGCTCTCGGCAGTGTGTTGGAGGCCCTGCCTGCCCGGGAAGCTGTGCAAAGGGATGCCTCTCCTCACAGGGCAGCAGGCCTGGAGACTCGCTTTCATTCTCTGCCGTAAGCCCTCCTGGTTCCCGAACTGTGCCTGGGCCCTGCCAGGGTTCATAGGCACAGATGGTACCTTTGTTCTGGCAGTTCTTATTTTTTATCTTGGCCCCAATTGCAGGATTAGGTGCAAATAATGAGAAAAAAAAAAGAAAGAAAAAAGAAGGAAAAAGAAATCATGGACTGCCCAGAGCTTGTCTAAGGTTGTCCCAAGGAGGCCTCAGAGTTGTGCCATTTCCCACTCATATCTCTGTCATCTGTCACCTAGAAAACTACTTGGTACCTTCCCCTTGTCAAGACAAGGCCCCTTTCTCCAGGTGACACATGGGGTGGCTGCAGTCTGAGATAGGCTGCAGTCTGAGATGCAGGCCGTGCTGAGCCTCTACCTGCCCAGGTCCTCTTTCTACGGACCCTCCCTAGTGAGGACAGCCCAACATATGTGCAGTGAGGACAGGAGCAGCCACGGGGCTCCGGAAGCCACTCCGCCTCGGCCTGCTCTGGGACCAGGGGCGGGGAGGGGATGGGGGATGTGGAGACACTGGGGCTGGCTGACGCCTGCTCTGCTTCACTTGATGTCCGACCTTGAGCGACAACACACCAGGTGCTCCTCTGTGCTCCGCAGCCCTCATCTGTCAAGTGGAGAGCACACCTGTCCCCAGCCGGCCTGGCTGGGGAGGTGGGCTCCGGTCAGGGGGAGTCCGGCGCTGGCTGCATGTCATTGTCTGGGAGGTGGCGTTGAAAAAGAGCTGCTATCATTTTCTGCAGCTCTGGACTGGCTGGGGAGGAGGCAGCACACGTGGGAGGTGGAGAGGACTGTTAGAGGACCTTTATTATTATGAACCCGAGCCACTGCTGACTTGATGTGGGTCCAGCTTTATGTCTCTCAGCCTGGGACTGATGCCTGTCAGGATTGGGACTGAGGCCTTATGAAAATGTCATTCCCTCAGAGGAGCAGCACAGTGACGGGCAGGGCACTGATTCCTTGTGTCTGCGGTGGGAGCTCAGGATGGTGCAGTGGGAGCTCCAGTGGGTACGTGTGGGTGCAGAGAGAGACAGAAGGAGAGAGGGAGGGGACACGTGTGAAGACCATCTGGCTGGCTGGGCACGAGCCCAGCCCGACAACCCCAGGCCCTTTTCTCCCCCTCCTCGCAGATAACTCCCTCTGTCTGCCCAGGGAAGGAACAATAGAATAATCTGGAGACTCCCCTACCCTTTTCTAGATCCTCCTGGGCTCTCTGCCTCCGGTCTCTGAGCAGATGTCCAAGGTGGGCCAGCTCCCTGGTCCCATCCAGAGTCACTCAGGGCCAGGCCCCAGGCCCCAGGCCCCAGGCTAGGTGCCCTCCGTGTGGGAGCTGGACAAGGAAGGCTGCACACGCAGGGCTGTTTCTGGCATAGCCACACTCGACACTGTTAAAGCCCTCCTAATCCGTGTTATTTTCTTCTAATCCCTCCCCCACCTGCTCTGGCCCATGTGCCACCCTGAAGGACCTTTAGTCCCAAGCCGGAGCCCGTGCTGAGCCCCAGGCATGAGGAAGCCAAGCATCTGCTTCAGCAAGCCCGCATGAAGGCCAGGACCCGGCCCGTCCGTGCCAGCCACGATATTGTGCCCACCCTTGCCCAGGGCAGCCGGTGAGTGGGGCCCGGCTCAGACTGGCCTGGGAGGGCTGTGGCAGAAGAAGAGATGGGATCCAGCTACAATGCCGCTGCTCACTCCTCCCTCCTGTCTGTGTGTGAGTTTTTCCTGTGTCAGGCATTGCTTTCATTCTAGTCAGTCAGCACACCTTCATTGAGGGCCTGCCCGTGTTATGTTATGGAACATAATCTGAGCTCCCTGGAGGACAGAGGTCACAGTCTCCAGGGAAAAAGACGGGCCAACGGATAAGTACGGTTCTGTGGGCGGTGGTGTAGGAGAGGAAAGATGCGTGCGCAGGGCAGGAAACCTACTGTAACTCCGCTGGAAAGGACAGGGGAGGCTCTGGAGGATGTGGCTTGTAGGTTGGGGCTTGAAGGAGACGTAGATATTCAGATGAGGGCAGATGAGGGAGGCAGGGTTGAGCATCCTGGGGCAAAAACTGAGCAGAAGCACCATGCTCAGGAGTTTGGCCAGGCTGGAGCCTGAGGACATGCTGGGGGGTGCATGGTGTGAAGGCCAGAAGGC